CTAGGAACATACAAAACCCTGTTACTGATCTTCTAGCATCAATGCAGGCAGCCCAGTCTAAGTCTGCAAATCTTCTTAACTTGAGACTTGAGTTTGCTGGAAAGAATAAGCCTTGGCCTGGGGAGTTTTTCACATATCTCAAAATTCTGTGAGCTGCTTTGTAACACCCCAGATTTTCAAGATATTTAAAACTTATAAAATAAAGGTGAAATCTCATTAAATCCCAAACAGAGTACGAGAGTACGGGGTGCTATGCCACACCTGAGCTAAAGAACTCAGGTGCACAGGCTAACTAACTAATTTCTCAATGATATGAATGCATAAACATGGCACGCAGGCCGAAAGGGAAACTAACTACTTCTATGTTCCAAGCTCTAGCGCACTCCAGTGACTTAATCTTCTGTGCCTGAAAGCCAAATATATCTGTTCAGCGAGAGATGCTGGTAACCCACTCCAACGCGTTGAAATACATTACATATAGAGATATATATAGATATACGAAAACCATTTTGAAGCATGAAGATATATCCTATGAGACTCTAGCTTTTAAAACCGGGAATGACTCGACAGATAAGGCTAGACCCAAGCAACAGGCGTATACAATCCTCAACCGGCAAGACAGATAAAGCTGAGCACAATTAATAATCATAACCCAATGTAAACAATCCCCAGCATAAATCCCATGGTCACATCCCCCAATATAAATACAACTCATCCATATCTCATCACATAGCGCACTTTGTTGGCGCCACAGGACCAATCGCACGCCCATACATGAGGGTCAGCGCATATAGCTCTGACACGGCCCTGCAGCACCCTGCCCCGTCTCACATTACGGAGGAGCCGATCGCAACCGACTGATGGACATTTGTCCTACATAATATTTATATACCTGACCGGTCTTTACCAGCCTGGTTAACAGTTGGGATGGTTCTCAGCCCATTCAACTGCCCGTATAGTGGACCTTAGTCCTATATAATATTAATATACCTGACCGGTCTCTACCAGCCTGGTTAACAGCCGGTATGGTTCTCAGCCCATCCGACTGCCCGTATAGTGGAACTTAGTCCTATATAATATTTATATACCTGACCGGTCTCTACCAGCCTGGTTAACAGCCGGTATGGTTCTCAGCCCACCCGACTTCCCGTATAGCCCGATTGATCTCAACCAATTCGGGGTGACACGCACACATAACACGTAGCAAGCACATGCAACCCACATTAACATATTGGGAAGGGGAGGAAACGTATAACAAAACCTATGCGTGATCCTTCACATGCTAAGAATAGTCCTAAAGGGTTCATACTCCTTTCACCTAGGTCAGCGGGATACCAATTCAACTAGCATGCAATATATAAGACTCATACAACCTACGAACGGTACCCGAAATATCAAACTAGACATAAGCACGATAGACGGAGTCCGTTGGGACACCACGGGGGTCGGGGAAACATCAAACGGGGAAGCCAAAATCCCCAATTGGGGTGCGAACCAGCGGGTAGCCGGTGGGTGAGGGATCACCCGCCGGCTGCCCGCTGGTGGTAGCAAAACCGGGCAGCGGGTGCCCGGGAGGCAGCTGCCCGCCCGCCGGCTGCCCGCTGCCGGCGTTGCCCAAGAAAGCCGCGGGTAGGTGGCGGGTCCCCTACCCCCACCTACCCCCCACTGACTCTTTCATCACAAAAACGCCTCGGGAACCTTTGTGGAACCCGAAACCATGCTTAGACACTTTCAAACGCAATTGATAACACACGTAGACAATTAATGGATCAAAATCAAGAAACAAACGGCACATAACCTATCATGCTCTTCTAGACATAATAAAGACCCAATCATGCGAAATCCCCCCCAATATACCAAGAATAATTCCATACGATACAACCTAGGGTTCTAATCATTTTTAAATCCACAAGGACACAATTCATCTTCTAATATCAAGATTTGGTAAGAATATCACATAAACATCAAGAGTATCCTACAATCATCAAGAACATCATATAATCATCAAGAACGTTATATAATCATCTAGAACACCATAATTATCAAGAACCTTTCATCATCAAGATCACCCATGGAATTATCCCATCAATCATCAATAGTAACACAAATCATCAATACACAATAATATGGGGAAATCCTAAGAGGGGAATCATAGCTATGAAAATAGGTTTTGTTGAGACATGGGTTACCTCTTAGCCTTAATTAATCCCTTGGCTATGAAGGGTCTTTCTTTAAGCTTTCTTGCTTTCTTGATTTCTTCTAGGGGGATTCTTGGAGCTCTTTGGGGAGGTGGGGCGTTATTCTTGTGGGGGGTTTCTAGGTGCCTCTTAAGTCCCCTATTTATATATTTAGGAGTCCTAGTTAGGAACTAATATTATGAGCTTGCTAATTCTATTTTTTTTGGGACTAAGGGTTGGGTTTAGGGATAAGGGCCCGTGGACTATGGTGGGCCTTTCCTAATTAATTATTGTGTTTTAATTCTTTCTTTTAGGTAATTGATTAAATGATTTAATTGATCTTAGGGGTCGTAACACGGGGTGTTACATGCTTGGAGATGATCAGTAGTAGGCTTGTCTAGGAATTGGGATAGTTGTTGAACTGCAAAGCATATGTCTGGTCTTGTTATGGTCAGGTATAATAATTTCCCAATCAACCTTCTATACTGAGAGTTATCTTCTAATGGTGCCCCACTGTCTTGGCTCAACTTTGTTGTTTGTATCATAGGAGTTCTCACAGGTTTACTACTCAGAAAACCTGTTTCTTTAAGAAGGTCCAGGGCATACTTTCTTTGATTAACAGAAATCCCTTTTTGAGTTCTAGCAACTACAAGCCCAAGGAAGAACCTTAGAATACCTTGATCCTTGATCGATGGAGATGGTCTTTGATTTGTTGAATTTGATCTTTGTCACTGCTTGCCAGTATGACATCATCAACATATACCAATAATGGCACAAAATTGTTACCTGACCCCTTTGTGAACAGAGAATTATCACAAATAGCTTGTTTAAAGCTTAGAGTGATCAACTCACTTGTGAGCCTAGAGTTCCACTGCCTACTAGCTTGTTTTAGACCATAAAGGGACTTAGTCAGTCTGCATACCTGCCTGGGATACTGAGCAATAAAACCTGGAGGGAGATGCATATATACCTCCTCATGGAGATCACCATGGAGGAATGCATTGTTTACATCAAATTGGTGTAATTGCCAACCCTTTGCAGCTGCCACAGCAATTAGAGTCCTTATGGATGTAATCTTAGCTACTGGACTAAAGGTGTCAACATAGTCCAGTCCACATGTTTGAGCGTATCCTTTTGCTACCAACCTGGCCTTACACCTTTCCACAGTCCCATCTGACTTATGCTTGACCTTGTACACCCATCTACAACCTATGGCTTGTTTGGAGGGTGGAAGGGTTGTTAGTTCCCAGGTTTTGTTGGCTTAGAGGGCATCTATTTCAGCCTGCATAGCTAATTTCCAGTAGTCATGTAGAATGGCTTCATTGTAGGACTTTGGTTCTATTATGTTCAATATATTTAGGGCAAAGGCTTTGAAATTGGGTGAGAGTTTGTCATAGGACAGAACACAGACAAGATATGAGGAGATGTTCTTTTGTTAGGCAGTTGACAATCATAGTCCAGGAGATAGGCTGGTCTGATCGCATGCCTAGTGGATCTCCTTACTTGTTGTTGCTGTGAGGGTTCATTCTGGGCTGGCAATATGGTAATGGAGTTATGATCTGAGGGTTCAGTTTGGGCTGGCAGTATGGCAATGGAGTTATTATCTGAGGGTTCATTTTGGGCTGGCAGTATGGCAATGGAGTTATTATCTGAGGGGGTGCTAAGCTGTGGATATTCAGTTGGATTAGGTGGAGTTGGATTAGCCCTTGAAATCAGGTGTGCCAAGGGTTCATCAGCTAAATGTACATTAGTAGGTAAGATCAGAGATGATGTGGGTACCCGAGTATCTGATTTGTGTTGCAAGGCATAAGGGAAGATCCTCTCATGAAATACCACATCTCTGGAGACAAACACCTCTCTAGTCTGCAAATCATACAGCTTGTATCCTTTTGTTCCAATAGGATATCCTAGAAATAAACACTTTCTTGCTCTTGGGGAAAATTTGGATTTGTAGCCATTGAGGTTCGCAACATATGCCAAACATCCAAAGGTCTTGAGGTGACTGAATTGGGGGGGCTTTCCAAACAGAATCTGGTGTGGTATGTTCCCTTCCAAGGCATTAGAGGGTAGCCTATTGATGATATAGACTGCTTGTAAAATGCAATCTCCCCAAAAACACTCTGATAGACCTGCCTGAAACCTTAAGGCCCTTGCAACACATAGAATATGTCCATGTTTTCTCTCTACTACACTGTTTTGTTGTGGAGTGTGGACACATGAGGTTTGGTGAATAATCCCTTTCTCTTGGTAGAATTTATCCATCTTGAACTCCTGCCCATTATCTATTCTGATGCACTTGATCCTTTTCCCAAATTATGTGAGGATTAGAGCACAAAAACATTGAATCAGATCTCTAACCTCATGTTTAGCTCTCATCAGAAAAACCCAGGTCAGTCTACTGTGGTCATCTACAATGGTTAAAAAGTATTGGTGGCCATAAATGGTGTGTACATGATATGGCCCCCAAATGTCAGCATGAATCATGTCAAAACAAGCCGCAGAGACAGTGGAGCTTACTGGGAATGGCAACCTTTTATGCTTAACCAAATAACATACATCACAAGCCAATTCTTTATTTGATTTCAAATCAGAATCCAACAGCTGTAACATTTTCAATTTTGACAAGGATGTATGTCCTAATCTAGTATGCCACAAACTACTAGCAGTACAACTATTTACTTTTACATTCTGCATTTTGTCAAAGGAAACAAAGAACTCAGACTGCATCAAGTGATATAAACCCTTTTCCAATCTAGCCATTCCAATCATCCTCCGAAGGACGTGATCTTGTATGATGCATGTGTCAGAATATACGGGTAGTTTTCACTTGGAGTTTTTGATTAGCTCACTAACAGATACCAGATTATAATGAAAAACAGGCACACAAAACACATTCTGCAACACAATATCTTCTGACACCACAAGAGTTCCTATGTGTGTGATGGCAGTCCTGTTCCCATTAGGGAGCTCAACATACATACCCTGAGTTTCTTTGACCTTTGTCAACATATGTTGACTGCAAACAATGTGGTGAGTGGCAGCACTATCTAAGATCCAGGGAACTCTGCTACAGTTAGATGAAGAGAGAGCAGTACCTTCATATTGAGCATTGGGAATGAAGTTTGCAGAGATCATGTTGGCTTGTGGTGTGAGTCCTATGTCCAAAGGAGAGTTCTGGATGGCATTTTCCTTCTGCAACAACTGCTTGAACATCATATATTCACTCTGGGATAGTGAGACAGGTTCTTCTGGAGGATTCTGATTTATTGCTTGAACAAGATTTGTAGCCCCTACATTTCTGTTTCTTGGCCTCCATCCGGGAGGGTACCCGTGTTTTTTGTAACACTTCTCAGCTGTATGCCCAGTGAATCCACAGTGGGTGCAAATGGGCTTCTTGTTTCAATTTGGATAGAACTTCTTGGAACCAGAATTGTTACCTGAAGTTTGACTCAAGAACACACTCCCTGCATTCAAATTATCTGCTACTTGAGGGAGAGAGCTCAACATTCCATTGTTGAACCTTCTTTCTTGCTGTTGAACTATCAAAAAAGCTTCATCAACAGAGGGCAAGGGCTTCATCATCATAATTTGCAATTGGACTGAGACATAATTGTCATTGAGTCCTCTCAAGAAGACAGATAGGTTATCACTGTCAAGATAAGCCTGCAGTTTATCTAACAAACCACAATCGCATCTTCTAGCACAATTGCAGGTAGGCAAAGGCCTTATTACTTGTAGTTCATCCCACAAGACTTTCAACTTTGCAAAGTATGTTCCTATGTTGAGATCCCCTTGTCGAATTTCATGGATCTCAGCATGCAAGTCCGAAACGCGAAATATATCTGCCTCACCAAATCACGATTTCAATGTCTTCCACACTTTTTCTGCAGTTCCTGCCCAGAGAACGGTCTGAGCAATCTCGGATGAGAGCGAGCGTATTATCCAGGTGCACACCATATTATTGCACCTTTTCCAGTAAGGAAATTTGACGTCATTGATCTCCCACAGCTATGGTTCCGTCTACAAACCCAAGCTTATTCTTTGAGAGCAGGGCAATCTCTATTCCCCTAGCCCAGGGATGGTAATTCTGCCCATCCAAGAGTGCGGAGACAAGAATCAGCGATGGATTCTCGTTAGGGTGTAAGAAGAAGGGACTTGCTGCATCATTCGGATCGAATGGAGTCGTCGGAGCCACCACCGGAACTGGTGTTGGTGGCGCAGTGGTCTGAGATGCTTGAGGTCTGTTTGTGTTTGTTCCTCCCGTCCATGCCATGATCTTCAGAGCTCTGATACCATATCATGAATTGTAAGATGGATCAAAGGAAGGAAAGAAAATACTGTTTCATTGATTTCTGTTATCACAACTTTAGCTTCCATATCATACATCATTTATATGAGAAAGAAGAAGAAAAGCAGTTTAGGCAGTAAACCATTTTAACTGAAATTAACTGCCTCAAACTACCTAACAGCTGTTGACTATCCTTGACCAGTAGTAGGCTTGTCCTCTAATATACTCAAACTAAAAATTTTAACAAGACAAAACGTGCCACAAAACTAAAAAGGATTGACAATATTTCCGTTGTGTTTATAAACTTTAGCATTTTCTAAATTCAAGCTCACTTTGAGAATTAATTTAAAAAATCAAACAAGTCTATTTACTAATCCCTCTAATCTCGCTACTCAACTCTTCGACGCCAATAAAAGTATCAAACTTTTTCTTATAAGTGTTAGACTTTCCATCATAATAACAATCAATTAACCGTAAATAGCATTACATTTCTATTAGATCCGGCTCGTCTCACATAAAAGGATATGTGAAATAATCTCATAGGAGAGTCACGATATATAATTGCGCGTATCAATAACAAATGTCTGAATATTTTTGCCAAATTTTAAGCATATATTTACATGTAATTATTACAAAGCTTGCATGAAAGTTTCAATTTTTTATACCAATAAACCAATTTAAAAAATTGTAAAAATATATAATCACGAAAACGTTGAAGGCAGACAATAATACATTAATACGTAACAACAAAGTAAATGGCTCGTGCATAAACACGTCAACTCTGCTGTATATAAGAAGCACACTGCCTGCCACACACACTTCATAAAAAGGAATAAAACATCAAATTAGTTTCTGTACTGTGTAGTGTAAGACGATCCATGACGACAACTATGCCGATATATATACATATATATATATATATATATATATATATATATATATATATATATATATATATATATATATATATATATATATGAGAGGTAAACCACACTTAGAAAATATATATGACGGGCTAGAGATAATACACTTTCTATTACTTTTTTTGCTACACAAGTTTTTGTATTATCAAAAATAGTGTAAGATTGAGGACAACATGAGACAATTATTTATTTATTTTTTTGGCAAAGAATCAAATTTATTGATTACTTTGACACTTTCTATTACTTTTTTCATGTCATTTTATTTGTCCTATATTTATTTTTAACCCATTAGGCATTATCTATCTCAAAGTAATATTTATTCTTTAATTTAAACACCACTAACTTTTTACTTTAATTTATCAATTTACATTTCCTTTTAATTTTTCTATGTGGAGCTCAATTTACCTCTTTCAAAGAAGATGACAAGCTTTTTCCAAAAAAAAAAAAAATTTTTTTTAATAAAAATTGTGCTAAACAAAAATGTCTTGCAATAATAAAGGTCATTTTCATTCCTTATTCAGATGGTGATCAAATAATAAAGGTCATTTATTCCATGAGACTTCATGCATGCCGGCCTGGATAGATGCATGTTTTTAGCTCCTAGAAGTCACAATCACAGGACGGCTAGCTGGATTTTAATTAATTTTCAGCATTGGGTTGAATAGTTGTAGACTTATGTGTAAGCACATAATCCACGTTACAGATTTAATATATGGCAATAAAACATAAACCTACTAATCTCCAGTCCAAGCTTGCGTTCTTGGTTGCCTAAATCCGTTGTCTGTTGAATAGGAATTCCTCGGACTGCTGTGAAATCATCGTAAACCAGATAGTGTTTCTCTCACTAATCTTAGTTACTCTAGATAGTGTATGAGTCGTGAACTGAGCAGTGAGAGGACTTAGAGTCTAAATACCGACATCCCGTAGGCAACCAATTACCTAATGCTGACTAAGTTCTAATACTTATTCAGCCTACTAGTTTGTACCACATAAATCACTTAATAATAATAATAATAATAATAATAATAATAATAATAATAATAATAATATTATTATTATTATTATTATTATTATTATTATTATTATTATTATCTTAATAATAATAATAACATATGGAAAACGTTACATTCTGGTCCAAAGAGAATTTATTCACGAAATATTTCTGAAAATTTCAGTCACGATATTTCACAAATAATTTAAGGCGTTTTATTCTTACACTTTTCTAAAAAGTGATAATTTGATTCCTCTTAATAGTACTAAGAACGTTAAAGCATCTAATCCTCATAATATAATGGATTACACCAAATATATTTGAGCACTCAAATATATTGTTCAGTGAAATAGAACAACTATGAACACTTTGAATATCATATCGAACTTGCAACATGATTATTTGCATTGCAATAAGATTGCAACTGACATTCGCAATTTCTACATTTTAATTGCAAACTAAATTGCAACAACATTTGCATCTACCATATTACCATTGCAAACTAAATTGCAACGACATTTGCAACTATTCTATTACCATTGCAAACAAAATTGCAACAACATTTTGCAAGGGATTTAATTAAATTATTTGTTGCAACAATTGCAATGAAATTTGTAACGGATTAAATGTTGTTGCTATATTTGTAACGGAATAAGTCAAGCGAAACTCGTTGCGAACATTGCAACATATTAAGATCCGTCGCAAATATTTGCAATGGAGTACACAAGACAAACCTGTTGCAAACATTGTAATGGAATTCAATCCGTTGTAAAATTTGCAAAGGAAAAGTCAATTACAACAAGTGTTTTACCAATAGAATGCATTTCGTTGCAAAACGTGATTTGTAACAGAATTTGGGCACTTTACAACGAAATTCCGTCTGTTGCAACAGAGACTTTTTTCTTTTAGTGATCATATTTTGGCCACTTTTGATCTACCAATACGTGGTAGTGGCTGGCGGGTCCTTCGCATGTGCTATCCGCTACTTTGGTGATGATCTTCAGTCCGTTATCCACTGCTTCAACAATGATCTTCAATCTTTTCAAGCATTTTCAAGCTAATTATGGGATTTGATTTGCAATCCCCCCTCCTTCGCGTGAGAGAAAGCTTATATGCTATACAATTCAAGTTTCAGACTTGTATATATACTATTTGAAACCCACTTCCCATTCCAATATGGAACAAAAGCTATGACAGAGTAATGGTGTCAGCACCCGACCCGGGTTGTCAACAGCACCTGACCGGCACCGCATGGAAAACCAATGGCCAGAACTCCAACTGTTAGAATACCAATGGGTGGAAACGTTACAATGAAACATTTACTACGCCCATTGAAGAGAGAGGAATGAATGCTTAGCTCCTAATTATGCCTCATTATGAAGTTACTGTTCGGAACCTGATATAAGTAGAACCCCTCCTTGGCTAGAGGGGACACGCTGAATTCTGTACTGAAACACTTGCAATACAACTATTGTTATTCTAATATTATATTTCCGGTAACATACTTACCGTCATTGGTTCTTTCAATGAGATTCTGAGTTCAATACTCAAGCAGGCGACTACACATGTAACACCCCGTGTTACGACCTTTAATCCCGGATTAATTATTTAATTAATTCCGTTACTGATAATTAAAAATAATTTAATTTGGGTAGGATTCCCTTTAATTAATTAATGTGGTCCACCATGGATCGTGGACCCTTACCTAAACTAGAGTCTTAAGCCTATTAGGAATAAAAAGAGTAGACCTTTTACTAGTCAGATTCTAATTAGGAATCCCAGACTTATATATAGGAATAAAGAAAGTAGGCCTTTACTATTCAGATTCTAATTGAGATTCCTGTCTAATAATAGGGGATTAGAAGGCAATTAGAACCCTTACCACCCATAGTTATATTACACAAAATTATTCCCAAGAGATTCCCCACCACCAAGCCTAGAGAGATCAATCAAATGGAAATCTTTGGAAGAACCTTAATAGCCAATGGAGGATTAATTAAGGCTAAGAGGTAACCCATGTCTCGAAAAAACCTATTTTCCTTGCTATATCTTATTCATTGGCTCCTTTGATAAATGATTCTGTGCTTGAGTCTTTAGAGAGCTTTGCTTAGGGTTTATATTGTGTTTATGTGATTGTAACACCCCAGAATTTCGAAACTTTTAAATCTTATATAATAAGGGTCAAATCTCATTAAATCCCAAACAGAGCAGTACAAATCATAAGAATACGGGGTGTTATGCCACATCTGAGCTAGAGAACTCAGATGCACAGGCTAAACTATCTAATTATCCTTAAACAACATCATTACATCATTTATGGCACGCAGGCCGAATAAGACTACCTATCTAAGTCTTGGGTCCTCTAGCGCGCTCCGGAGCTAATCGTCTGTGCCTGAAAGCCAAATATATCTGTTCATCGAATAATGCTGGTAACCCACTCTAATGCGTTGAAATACCGTATAAGTATATATATATATAGATATAAGAAAAGTCATTTTGAAGCAGGAAGATATATCTTAGGAAACTCTAGTTTCAAAACCGGAATAGACTCGACAGATAGGGATAAGCACATTCAACAGTTATAACCAAGCATATAAAGGTACTAGCATATATCCTATGGGATAAGCACATTCAACAGTCGTAACCAAGCATGTAAAGACACTAGCATATATCCTATGGTCACGGATTCACTTCATCTCATTTATATCATCATTCAACTCATCACACAAGCACACTTTGTTGGCGCCACAGGACCAATCGCATGCCCATACATGAGGGTCATCGCATATAGCT